CTGTTTGTACAGCTATTCAGCTTTCATATGCCAATGTACGCTGTTGCGCAATGTCTGTCGGTGTTGTCTGTTGGCAAATGTCTGTTGGCAATGATGTCTGTCAGAGCACACCAGCCAACAGACATCACGCAAGATGTCACCGAGGGGTGAAATGTCACCGGTCACTCATGTCAAACATCAGGTGATGTAACAGGCAAAATGTCTCAATTGCACACAGTGCTTGTTCAATAGTCTGTCAAGACCAATAAGAATCAGAGAGAAATAGTTGTGATGAGGGGAGAGGCAAAAAGCCTAACACCATATGAAGTGGAAGGTTGTGGATAATCTCAACTAGGAAGAAGTATGATGAGAAGTTGTGGGTGGTGGTGGTGTGGATCCTAGTTGTGTGGTGACTTCCGGTTCTTTTTTTTTATTAAGGGGTAGTGGTGGTCAGTGGGTTGATGAGTGAATTTAAGGTATTCTACAGGGCTCATTTGCTTCTTCTTACTCATCACTAAATAACAACAGAAAAGTGGCCTGATTTGTGCAATCTGATGCAACAATCCTGTAGTGTTTGAGATTTTGTCTCAAATAAGCTGTTGCGGCTTGTGGTTTGATTGGTTTCAACTGATTACCAAGAATTGATCACTCTTGATATCTGTCTTGTGTGGTGTCTTTCTTATTCAACTTTGTAAAATGAGCTGAATTCTCTCCCAACTCTCAATTGTTTTTTATGCATTATTCTCTTCTGAATGAACCATAAACATGTCACTTGTCCTTTAGTTCATTTTTCAAGTAGCAAACAGCATCAGCTCTTCACCTTCTCTCTACCAGGTAGGGAATTTCTGGCTGTTTTGGGGTTGGTATGTCTTGCTTTATGTATGTCAAGCAGATATGTGTTGTTGTTGATCTTGTGCAGGCTGGTCATTTGGGGTTTATAGAGAATAGTGAGGTGTTGTGATTGAGATAATAGATTGCTAACGGGGGAATGTACAAAGGTGTGGATGTTATGATCTTGTAACCCCCTCCAGGACTTGCCAGGGGTTTCCCCAACTGGGGGATTATCTTCAGCCTCCGCACCTTTGTACATTCCCCAGTTAGCAATCTATCATTCTAATCACAACAGTGGAGGCTGGAGATGATTCCCCAGTTGGGGAAACCCCTGACAAGTCCCAGAGGGTGTTTACAAGATCATAACACAAGGCTCAAAGTACAATCTAACTTCAGTGGGCCACTGCACCTTTTGGCCAAAACAGTGTAGCATAGCTTCCATTTCTTTTTCCACATATCCTGTAGGGTTAGTGTCCTTGGCCGCTACACTATGTTGAGATGTGCTACAGAACTTGTAGTGTCATTTCTTTCCACTAAGAAGATCTGTAGCAGAGTGTAGCAAGGCCTTTTCCTTGCTGCGTTAGTGTTAGTGCAAATCAGCTGAATGCTACAACAAAATTGATGAGTTGATTTGAAATAGGCTATACTACTGCTAATGTTACTGTTAGCATAGAAGGCCCAGTGTGGCTGGCAACAGAGGAGACATTGTCACACAGTGCTCAAGCAGGTTGCAAGCATTCTGCAGGCGTGGTCTTTTTTTGTTCTTGTAGGTCTCTGTGGGAATTTCTTCTCATGTCAAATAAAATGAGAGCATAACATGATTTGATGGCTATGCCACCCCCCTTTTTTTTTTTTGCTGGAACTCAAGGAACCTCCAATATGCCCATCAAAAACACCAAAACAAAAAAAACAGACAAAACATTAACAAAGAGAAAGTGCATGCAATTTTCTCACTGACCAAGCATCAAAGCATGGCCATTCTTCTGGATTTTCTGTTTATCTTGCGGAAAAAAATAGATACAACTTTCAGGAAAAAAAAAAAAAAAGAATCAGCAGCTTGACAGATTATTGACTTGAATTAATTTACATTGAAGACAGGAATTGAGGAAATATTAAATGCCAAATTTTGAGGAAAGAATTGAAACAAAGCTGTTTGACTAAATTCCAAAAAAAGTTTATATGTTATTTGTCAGAATAAGACCCACCAATGGGCCCAAAATTGAATGAGATTGTGCAGGTGCAGTGAATTCTCAGCAAAAGGCAGAAACTTCTAGTTCCAAAATTGCAGTATATGACATAAGTTCTCCCTACTGGATGCACTCCGTGAGGTGCCAGGCCAAACCCAAAGTTGAACATGAGTTGAGTCAAAATTAAGAGCTTTCACACATGCAAGCCAGCCTGCCCCCTACATTTTTCTTACAATGTTCTTATTTTGAAAAAGCCCCATCTCCATGAGCCTTCCACCCAAAACTTCACACTACCCCTGGCTATCAAACTTGTTGAAGTAAGGAGTGCAAGTGGTATGGTTTTTAATTTTATTTATAGTTAGATGAGTTTGTAATGAACAGAGGATTCAAAAGGGTGCAGTATCTTTTGATGACTGCAGAGTGCCAGAGAAAACTATACAAGAGGTAGAGACAACACGAAAACAGACCTGATAAGGGGAGAAGAACATGTCAAATGAGTTGAAGTTGAATGAGTAGAAGTAAAATGAGACAGCAGAGAATATGGAGTGATGAATATGACTGGTATTTCACACCTTTTGATGGCCGACCAGAGTGTCAGAGAAAACTCTACAAGAGGGGTTTTCTCAACACTTTGAATTGAGATTTAGGCTGGAAGAAATGGATGGAATTATACTCATCTCACCCAACACATATTTCTCAACAATTCTTTCTTGGTGCAGTGGGCTTACTATACTGAATTCAAAAATTGGTACTTTAATAATAGTGCTTGATGATTCAAGTCTGTCAGAATGGAAACATGGTTCCACCAGGACTCAATTGTAACCCTAGGTTGAGCTAACTCAAAGTGTCTGCTTGAACATAAAGCTACACAACATATCTTAGGGCAGCCAAATTTAACCCTCTTTCATCCTCCTAACTTCAAATCACAACCTCATTATTTTGAACTGTAATGTTTTTTTTACCCTGTATTGCGTTCTTGAAAAAGGGATTAAATTAAAACCAACCCATGAAATTCTTTTGAGATATATATATTTTAAAAGAAAGGCTTTTTTACCCCAATTTTCTAAATTTTGGTCTTCCTCTAAATTTTTTTTAGTACATCATAGTAATATTTTCCTAAATTAAAAGGAATGATTTCCCTAATAACTCAAAGCTGTCTCCTAAACCCCAAGAAATTTTCAAGTTTATCTTACTCATCGACATCACAGATTTTCCTGGAGAGCAAGAAGAGTGAAGCTCTCCACTGAATAAACCAATTAATCACAACAATTTCCAATTTACTATCAAGAAATTAATTCATTTTTTATTCCAGATTCCCAAGTTTTACTGAATTGTCAATGTTCAGAATGTAACTGTGCTGAGCTGCAATTGTGATTAGGGTGAAACCCGGCTAATCCCGGGACGGGGCGCCCGATCGAGTCGGGGCCTTCCACCAGCACCGAATGCCATTCCTCGACAGGCTGGCAAACAACCCCCGGAACAACTGCGGTCGAAACAGCTCTTCTCTTGATACGTCTTTTTCCATTTCGCGATGCGGTTGACACTCGAGGAAGCCAAACGTAAGCCAGGCCAGTTATTTTAGGCGTATTCTGAGACGATACCTCCTTCTTACGACTATGGTTTAATATTCCTTGGTGGGATTTTGTTTTGGTTATCATCATATCACCAAAAAAAATAAAAGAATTGAAGGAGGCCCGAGAGCAAAAGATTCGAGACGATTGGATCCGAGTGATGGAGATGAGAATAAATCAAGAAAAGCTGGCGGAATGTTACCGTACCGAGGGCGTCAATTCTTACGAACAATGCGCCCACTTGGCCCAGACTGTCATCTCCCAAATCCCCGAAGGAAGAGTACGTCTTGTCTCGTCCCTTCACACCCCTTATCTCAAACTGACTTGAGTCTGCCAATTCCATTCGGATACTGATCTTGCTTCTTTCGCTTCTCCATTCGCTGATTGAATCGTTTACGTCAATATCCGTACAACCCGTCCTCATCTGAAACCTCTCTGACAATCCTCACTACTCTCGATCGATGTCTATTGCGGTTTTCCATGGGTTGCTTACCTGCTGGTCTGGATTGCTTTCTCTTCATGTATCTTCTTGATGACGTTGTTATTCAAAGATCCGTGGCTTTCGTTTGTTGGAGCAACGAAGGAACAACGCGAAAATGGAGTGAGGCCGCCGATCAGGCCAGAATATTATGTCAAATTCATTTGCAATCTGCTTCGCCGTCTTTCTCCAGACTTGATACCAACAGAGACTTGATCATAGTGATTGTTGGATGAAGGAAACTCAAGATGCTCCTTAGTCTATCTACAATAGGCTAGCCATTTGTAATGTACTGTAGAGCCCCCATGTCTTCTCTGAGCGTACTACTCATGACCTTTGCGTCTTTTCTTGAGTGTATTGTAAAGCTTCAAGGTGAATACGTGGTGGGTGAGGTGCGTATCGGTACGCTCCCAAGGTCCAGAAAGCAATTGTTTAGTAAATATCGGAAAATTTCTGGAGTGACATCGGCTTCTGCCAGTCTCAATAGCTCAGTTGGGAGAGCGTCAGACTGAAGTAAATAGCTCATCTGAAGGTCCAGTGTTCAAGCCACTGTTGGGACATCCTTTTGTGTTTTTAGTGGTTGAGTGGTGAAACCAATATTTTATGTTTTTAGCATGTTTACATGATTGAATTGAAGGATGTCCTTTTTTTGAGAGGGGGGCGGGGGGCAGGTATGACATTGTGCAGTATCTCATGCTTCCAACATACCCAAGGAATAGATAGGCCCCTTTTTGATGTGTGGCTTATCTACCAGTGTTGAGAGGGGTTATGGATGCATGTGTAGTCTACATGACAATGAGGAAAAAACACTGCCAAGTTGGAGGTGGGTGAGGATTATTTGGAGGAGAGAGATGAAAGAGGTTAGTTTTGGAGTGGAGGGTGGAGGGTGTGCTGCTACCTGTCTTCTTCTTCCCATAGCTTTTGTTGCAAGGCTGAAGTTCTAGGGAAGTTGATCCAGGCCTTGAATGCAACTGGCCTGCTCTTAAAACTCTCTTGTATCTTTTACAAGCCACAATATAATATTTTTCAGATAAGGGAAAGGGAGTCAGTTTTGAGTTGAGAGGAAAAGGTTTGTGAAGAACTATGGTGGATAGCTGATTGTATTGTGAATCAAGTGGGTTTGGGTACATGCCAAAGTCCCAGTTAGCACTGTGCCAATTGATATTAAACAAGTGCCTAGGGGGCTTGATCTGCCAGATTGGACAGGGCAGGGATCTTGGTACATCCTCAAGTTCTGCTGGGCTGATTTAAGCTCTTGGCCAATAAGATCAGCCAAAGGGTTGAACAAGAAAAGATCCAAGATGCACAAAATATAAACAAGAAGTGTACTTATCAAAATGATTGGTTTACCCACAAAGACCAAAAATCAAATGCCATTATGATGCCCAAGGTCCACAAGTTAATCTGGGAGAATGTGCAAGGGAATGACATGAAGACTATTTAGTCAGGGTGCCCAAGAAGTGCCCAAGAACATTTACCAATGAAATGAAGATGAATTTGATACATCAACTTGATCAGAAATCATCAAGAACCCTAGGGTAAATGGCCTGCTTTATCAAAGACTGGGTTGATGTCTAGGTCTCAACTCAAGCCATCAGTAACCTGATCTATGACATGGACATCAACCGTGAGTCAGAATGTGGTCCCACCCTTGGTCAACCAACATATAATAAATTGAAGAATGTTAAATAGTGATACAAACCCTTTTGGGGATGGGCCCAAAAACTATCAGTGAACAGCACCCTTGTGGTCTTCCAGAAGAAGACATAAATTGGTTAAGTTCAAGCTAAATGTGATCTACCAGATTCACAAAAAGAAAGATAATAATAATAATTACTTGAGCACTATCCAGTAAGGTGAGCTTTAGACCTTCTCCATGACAGGGAGGGAACTGAGCTGCTATTTTTCTGAGTTGCGGCACATTTTTAGCAGCACCCATTTTATGTGTTTTTCTTTTGTGGTGCTGATCTGTGATGGGTGAGTGAAAGGTGTGTGACAGCGACAGTCTCTGGTGGTGAGAGGTGACTGAAAACTGAGGCAAAAGTTTCTGCGCCAACTCAAAAAACAATGAAGCACTTCTTCCGCAAACTCGTCCTTACACTCATCACACTAACAACAACAACAACAACAACGACAACAACAACGACAACGAACGGGGCTTCGACTATCAGCGTACCGTTCTACAAGAGACGCACCCAGCAGCACAGACTCGAGTTTCAGAGACTCAAGCTCATCAGCAAGTACAACTCACTCCCACCAGAACAACATCCAATCCAAAAACAGCAGCACCATCTACTCCAACCACGTCAAATATCTCTCCCAAACCCACCCAAAAACTTACCATCCAGTAGTAGCATCAACAACAATAATAATAATACTACTAATGTCACTTATCGCGCTCTCTCGGACGGAAACGGCGGCGCCATCGGTCTACAACCCATCCTGAACTTCCAAGCAGACCTGTCAGTAACCACACTGAAAATTCTCCAAGTATCCACACTAATCAGAAAATTCATCTATCCAGGGAATACTTCACTTCCATCCTTATCGGAACACCGCCTCAATCACTGAACGTCATTCTCGACACGGGATCGTCAGATCTATGGATCGCCTCCGCAAACTGCTCAGTCTCATCTGGCTGCTCTGTAGGCCTCGGCCCCCGCTTTGACCCCCTCAACAGCTCCTCTGCCTCCACTTCAAATACCCCCTTCTCTATCAAATACGGTAGCGTCAGTCTCTACACTACCCATCCTCTCTCCTTCCCCCCCCTTTCTCTCTCTCTCTGAACTCTCCTCCTTTCTACAGGGCTCGGCTACTGGCAAAATGTACAACGATAATGTCACGTTTGCTGGCTACAAACTTTCACCTCAGAGCTTTGGTAAGCTTCCAAAATCTGTAAAATAAGCCTTTTTTTTCTCTAAACAAAAAATATTCACCTATCCCATCAGCTGTCGTGGATACTGTCTCCTCAGAACTCTTGAGTAAGGATGTCTCAGGACTAATGGGTAAGCTTTTTTTGTTTTTGTTTTTACTTTGAGAAGGGGTTTTAGTTCCAGAAAAGAGATTAAACAGCTAGAGAGATTGCATCTTGACAGGGCTAGGATTCCAGCCGTTAGCGTCATCAGGGGTGACACCGATTTGGCAGAACATTATGAACAACAGCAGCACGAATGGCAATGTGACGTTCCCGGGTTTTTCGTTTGGACTGACGCGCTACATCAACACTACACGGCCAGCGGAAGTAGAGCCGGGGGGTCTGTTCACGTTGGGCACCCTGAACGCCTCCCTAATCGCCCCCGGAGAGCCGATCAGTTTTATCGCCGTGCCTCCCGGTCTCCAGTCCTATTGGCTCATTCCCATGGACGGGCTCGAAGTCAATGGTATCCCCCTTAATCTCGACAGCCAGCCCTCCCCGAACGTCGCCATCGACACCGGCACCACTCTCATCGGCGGCCCAGCTGACGAAGTCAAACAGTTCTACAGTCATGTCACCGGCTCATCGCCCGCCTCAGGCTCCTACCAAGGTACCCTTTCCCCCCCCCCCGTCTGAATCTTGAGGAGGTCTGAACTTACTGCACATCATAACTTTAGGTTACTATTCATACCCCTGTAACTCCTCGGTGCAGGTGACGTTCAAGTTCGGGGGGAAAAACTATTCCATGGCTCCAGATGACTTCAACCTGGGTCCCTTTGGCTCCAACGGGCGCTGTCTGGGCTCGGTATTTGAGCTCGAGCTCTCGGGTGCATCTAAGTCGTTGATCTCTTGGGTTATGTTGGTCGCTTTCTCCCTCTCTCTCTTTCTCCCTCTCTCTCTCTCTTCCTCTCTCTCTCTCTCTTTACGATGTGGAAATATTATTGAACTGACTTGTCCCACTTGTTTTTCTTCAGCGGAGATTCGTTTCTAAAAAAGTTGAGTTGAGAGTAACTTTTGTGGATTGAAATTGAACCAAAATTGACCGAGTTTATGTGTGTGTGTAAAACAAAAGTGTGTTATCGGTATACAGATACGTGCCGCCAGCGGTGGGGTTTGCGAAGCTATCGGGGATGTTCAACAGTACGGGGACGAGTGTGGTGACGGTGGGGGGCGGGTTATATGCGCCTGGGACGCTGAAGACGGTGGAGGCGGTACCGGGCGGGACGGCGAAGAGTAACGCGAGTAGTAGCCTGGCTGCGGGGCTTAGGAACGACTCGATGACTCCCGGTAGTAACCTACCTGGAAGTGCCAAGACCTCCGCTGCTCATTCCCCGATTTCCCCCTCCCTTCCAGCTTGCTTCTTTCTCCTCGCTCTCCCCTCCCTTTCTTTCGCTTGATGTGCACTCTTGCCTCTTTGTTCTTGCGTCGTCTTGTTCCTCTGTCTCGGTTCTTTTTATTATTATTATCAATATAGACCCTCTCTTCCGTTTATTTATTCTCTTTCCTTTGCGAAAGTGTGTTTGTTTGTGGGTAGTCGCGTGTATTATATTTGGGTCTTCCTTTATTTCTCTTATATTGTATTCTTATATATGTATATATAATATACCTAGTTTTAGCATCATTGACATTTCTTTCCTTTGATACCATAGGCTTTCTTTGCTATAATAATAGCTATCTCTTTTTTTCTTTTTTTTCTCCTTTAATTTGTTGGTTCCTCTTTTAATTCATTTTTTTTGTTTATGTACGGAAGAAGACATTGTGAGAGTTTGGTTGGAGTGATAATGGATGGAAAAGGATTTCAGTTGCTGAGGCGACTCTGCGCGGGAGACGGCTACGCAGCCGAGCAGGAGTGGAGTGGCATGGCTGAGCTGCGGATAAGCAAACATGCATATTATGCATTTCCTATAGTAAGCTGCGATCCGATCCGTCGAAGGGACGGATAGGATTAAGGGTCGGGTAGCCCCGGGGGATTGTCCCACCAGCAGACTGTCTGTGTTGGAAAAACACAGTTTTACGCTTGGCCGCCGAACAGATTTCAAGAAATGGAGCCGAGCGTGGACGTAATACTCGGGGCACAATGGTAAGTATTTAAATACTCTCTCCTTCTAAACCCGCTCAGCAATATATATCCATCCTCAAATAGGGGCGACGAGGGCAAAGGAAAGCTATGCGATATCCTCTCTGCCTCCGTCGATATCTGCGCCAGGTATGCTGTCCTAACCAACCATCCCTCAGAACCCCTCGCACTCACCTCTGCTCACTCCCTATGTCTTGAAAGGAGTGCCGGTGGGAATAATGCAGGTCACACTATCGTCCTCGATCTCCCTCATGGACAAGGAATCGACGGTAAAGGAGGAAAAACTAAATACCACTTCCATCTCTTGCCTAGTGGTAAATCATCTTTTTATACTTTCTGAACAAACCAAAACAAAAATAACAAGAGTTATCTCATCGTTCATCGTTCGGTATAGGCTTGGTCAATCCAAATTGCATCGGTCTTATTGGCTCCGGGACTGTGATTCATGTGCCAAGCTTTTTTGATGAACTAGCTTCATTAGAATCTAAAGGTACGCATTAGTTCTCTCAAAATCTTGTTCATCTTTATAAACAACTAAACTAGAGGCTTTTTTTTTTTTTTTTTTCAAG